CTCAAAGAGTTCATAAAAATAATAAAGGACGAAGTCAGGTTATTATTACTAAGAAAGAATTATTGTAACCAGGACATCAACGCTCCTTTAACTTTAATAAAGTGGTAACTCAACCCTAAACCATCCGAAATTCTAAGCCAAGAACACCCTATACAGCAAAGTTACACCAAACCTTAACCAAAGCATTTTCACAAAATAAGAAGCATTTCTTTTTAGCAGTGGTTTTTCTATGGTTGAGGAAGGCATTTGCTAATAATGTCTCCCTGGAAATGGTAGCATCAGCTCAAAAAAAGCTTCCGTGTCATTTTAAAGGGCATTGACGAACAGGGTTTTGGAGGGTTCCCTACACATAATATTGGTTCCTTCCATACAGTTATAATGCTCCACTTAAACTGATTTGTACACTAAGAAAAAAAATATATATTCAACAATTCAAATCTCTGTAATAGCATTGATGAATACTGACATAAACAAATCAAATCAAAAGAACCTCACATGAAACTAGAAATGGACAACATTGACTGGATGATATCTGATTTGGAAAAAAGGCAATTACTGCAAAGCCGACTGATCCTGTGTTACATATGTTCATCGTACAGCATTTGCAAACACACAGTATATCGAATCAAAGGATTATGTGGTCTGTGCTCCCTGCAGAATTTCATTTTCGATGGTTGTTTACCAGAAAAGAAATGTGGAGTGTGATGCTTCTAAATGATCGGGAGCTGACAGTGTTTTCCTCCGAGTCCTGATCTCTCCCTCTTTTCCACCCCTTCATCTTTCTGTCCCCTCCATTGCCCATCTTTTGCGTTTCTCTCCCCTGGGCTGGACACTTTGTCCTTGCGCTCCCTGTCTCCTCCTCCTCCTCCTCCTCCTCTCTGCCTGGGCCGAGTGCGAGTGATAAATTATTCGTGGGCATGCTCCGAGGGCCCAGGGCTGCTCATTCCTGCACACAGAGGACTAGCATTGATCCGGCCTGTGGTTCAACTTAATTGGAAACCCAGTTACACCAGCTACAGACACACTCCGACACACACTGCACACACACACACACACACACACACACACACACACACACACACACACACACACACACACACACACACACACACACACACACACACACACACACACACACACACACACACACACACACACTTTATAGTCACTAAGCCTGCATTCTAAGCAGCACTAAAGAGGAGTAACAGTCCACAGTGGAGCAATAGGCCCAGGGTTATCGATTGGACTGAGACACTGACTATCATACAGCTAATAGATTACATCAGACACATCGGAGCGGCCCAGTCAATGAGGCCTGATCCTATTAACTGGGGATTTGTAAACAGTTGTGTGCTCACTGTGACGGCTGCTGTGCTGCTTTGTGAGCCTTGGCGAGGGTCTGGAGGAGGCTCGTATATCAGTGCACCCGGCCCCAATCTGCTGCCAGCCCCAGCCCAGCCGGGGTCATGGGTGTGCTGGACAACATGCTTTCATTTTATTGTCTTTGGAACAGGGATGTCGTTTTTCTTCTGTATTGGTGTCAATCCTTCAGAGGTTTAACGTTGTAGTGGTATTTCTTGCATGGGTTGAATGTCAGTGGCTGTGTTCCAAATCGTAAACTAAGTAAGTAAATGAGCAATTACAGTATACTATAACCAACAGACTTTTACACTGGAGTAGAGAATAGTTTTGACATTCATGATGACGTCATGGTGTTAGCTTGAGCCAAATCAAAGGAAAGACTTACTCAGGTTTGCAGGCTAAAGTAACTACTGTACAAATGGCAACATGTTGCTGGTTGCTAGCATCAAAAAGGTTATGGCTCTAACTTTCAAACTTATCACATACCAGATGTATAACTATGTAATCTAAGTATTGGAATGACACACATAAAAAGTGCTCACATTCCTAGCGTATTCTTTAAATTAGATAAGGTGGATATGTGTCTAAGGTTTTGTGATGCCCATCTCATCAGGAAGAAAATGTTAGGGTGACTTTTCTCGTAAGCGAAGAGAAGATTATCTCTCACTCTAGATTATCCTTTTAGATTATCCATCTGGTTATCGTTAATTATTTTTTATTTTTGGTTAAAAGGCATTGAGAATTATTTATTTGTTATCAATGTGGTAACATCATTATTACGTCATGGTGTTAGCTTGAGTCAAATAAAAGGAAAGACTACCTGAGATGTGAAGGCTAAAGTGACTACACATTGTAAAATGTAACTGATGTTGAAATAACATGAATGTTATTTCGTATTAAATCAATGTGGTCAGTGGGTGATGAGATGAGATGAAACCCAAATATTGTACTTTGAGGGAAAAGGCTATTTTCATTGCACACGTTTTGAAAATAGGAAAAGCATGTTCATTAACAATAATATTAAGAAGGGCTCTCTATTCAAGTGTTTGATAACCATGAGACAGCACGGACAGTTCAACAGCTTTGAAACTGAACAGTGCATGCATGGTCGATAAATGTTTTGGTAAAAAGTTTTGGTACATATTTGGTACACTTTAGGAAATAAATAGTGCTCTGTTTTTTGAATGCATGCACATTTTGTCCCTAAAATTGATCAAAATTGGCTTAAAGAAACTTGACTATCAATTTGGCCATACATTTCTCTCAAATTGGTATTTTTGTGAGATATTGAAAAGTTTGTTTGATCATCAGCTGGATTCATTTTTTAGCAGAATCATGTTCCTTGCTAGCTAGCAGGTCACCAGTGTACAATAAAGCCTTTTATATTCTAAAAAGTATGAAAGGTTTATATTTAAGTGAATCACTGCATGTAGCAACTAATTAGGGGGATAACAGTTGGAAGAAACACAAATTAACCCTGGGAATTGTCTGAAAGGATCCTTTGCTTAGCTTTTATTTGTTCTACATGAGCTGCATATCATAATCCATAAATAGTAGTTTTGTGTTTTCCTGCAGCCAAACACAACCAAGAGGAGGAGAAAACACATGGTCCACTATTGTTACAAAGCGTTAGTGCAGAGGAATAAAGTGCCACCTCCTCACCAGTGAACAGCTCAGTTCATCTAAAGTCCATTACAGCATAAGCAATACTTCAGTTTAGCCAGCACCACGATGGATGCTGGTCATTGTTTTTTTCTTTAGATTAATTTCGTGGCCTAAACCCATTCGCATGTCCCTTCAGGGTCTTTGCAGCAAAGAGGAGTGCAAACACAGAGGCAGAAAGAGAGATAGCGGTAAACTGGGTTCTCAGGCAGCGCTGTGTTTTTAAGAGCAAAACGACCTTTCCAAAATAAATAGATCTGTGTCGCGGACTGCTAGGAGAGAGAAACGCCCTCGGTTCAATAATTAATTCCCGAGTCGAGGGTTTTGGAGAGCCGCTGATTGGGCTGATTCTTTTTTTTTTATTCTGTTATGATACAAAGGACGCCGTTTGAAGTAATTTGTCCCAGAGAGAGCTGCTTGGAATACCATACATGCTTTGATTTAGCAAAGAAAATTTAATTTTGTTTGCTTTATGCAAACCAGTCAAGGCCGCGGGGGTTTCTCTGATTCCACCAGAGGGGTGATGGTGGTGGTGCTGGTGATGGAGGTGGGGGGGTTGCACATAACAGAATCACGCTGCTGCCGCTAATATATAATACACACTCATACACACAGCGCATGCAGTGAGCGGCAACAGTTCATGAGTACAAAGCCTATTCCCCCCAACACACACACACACACACACACACACACACACACACACACACACACACACACACACACACACACACACACACACACACACACACACACACACACACTACAATCCCTTTGAAATCAAAGCTTAAAGTAATTGTTTGTGCGTTGTGTTTTGTTTCACTCTATCCGTCTATTATTAGTGTTACTGGTATTATTCCTATCATGTTGTTTTAGCTGCCTGCTCTCGCTGCTTGCCGGGGTTTTGTTTTATGCCGCTAATGAAAGCTTCTCTCCTCGCTTTTGTTCTGCTTCGGTTTTTTTCCAATACGTGAATGGAATACATCTGTGTATATCTGTGCCTGATATTTCCTGAGACACCCATCAGCACAATAATGAAGAGGCTACTTGTGATTTAGTAGTTTGTGGAGATTTTCTTTACATAGATATTTTTGCAAACCCTTAAAGGTATACCTTAACGAACGTGGTCAGATGCTCGTGATGTATTGCAGTTATGTCATTAACGATAGAGTCTTTAATTACCTTTATTCTGTACCGTACTGTCCGTCTACAGATGTTACGCAAACAGTGGAGGTATTTCATCTCCGAATGAGAGAAGGCTATTCAGAACAGGTGGCAAAGCGGTTTTCTCATACTCCATTCAACTCATTTTTTTTTTTTTTTAAAGGAACAATAATGAGTGGATAAAGCAGAAAAACCCAATTTCCTTTATGCTTTTTATATCCCGCAAAAGCCCTCGTTGACGGCCCTTTGGTCTTTTGTTATAGAAAACTGAGCTAATATCCTCCAGCTCTCGGCGCAGTTTAAAGGTCTTAATTGGATTCCATTAGTATATTGCTTGACATGACACTTGAGTCCGCTCTATTAGAATTCCCATGCCTGGGATTAAAAAGAATACTTTATTCTGCATTCGACTCTCTGGGCTCTTTTGTTACATCTCAAATATTCTTTGTTGGATTCACTGTTTTTCAGTGACAGCATTATTAAAACCGTGAGCTTGACTCAAACAGGTGCTTTTATGTCTAGAGGACTTTCTGTAAAAAGGCATGGCATTGTCTCATCGCTGCAGTTTATGTATCAATAAACCTTAGAGGTAATACAGTATGAGGATAACTGATAGAATGTGCTGTAAGCCCCATAATAAACTCCTCCATCCTGTTTCTGCACAAGACTAGAACCAAGGTTGGGCTCCTTGCTGCTTTCTTTTCAGAGCATCACGCAGTGTTGAAGTGTTTCCTCCGTGGTTTCACGCGGTGTAGAACAAGGGCCAAAGGAAAGGTGTGTTTGATGATTTCTGTGTTTCATGTCTCCTGCCCCAGTCCTGAGCTGACGTGGAGGGATGTTCAGCATCTGATAGCCAACACAGCACAGATCCCCGACCCCAAAGAGCCTGGCTGGAACATCAACGCGGCAGGATACCATGTCCACCATAGGTACTGTGCTACATCCCATATTTTTTAACACACATTTTGTGTATGATTTTTGGGGTTACTTTCCTAGCATTCAGCCAAAATTCTTTCCACCTTCTAATGCTGCGTCTAACAGACCGGACGTGATCCGAATATTCGCTTCGCTCTTATCGCATCGCTCTAAACACTCGAGTTTCACAGCCGCTGTCAGCTGTTTTTATTCGCATCATTCAAACAAGACGCGCTGGCTTGAGGGCTACAACTACAACAAAATGAACATATTTGACCGTGATTAAATTGTAATACACGTTTCAAAATGATGCAGAAGTAACAACATACTGATACCGGATAGTAAAAACCATGAATTAAAGCTTTGACAAGTCTGCAGACAGACGGCATGCGAAAAACCTTTTAAAATGCGTGTTTTCTGAATGGAGATCAGATCGACCAGGCTAAGCTAACGTTGTATATGCTCCGACCGTCCACACTCACAACAACGGCATACAGACATAAATAAAGCAGCGACTGTATTCGCCATGACACAGACAGTCTGTGGTTTGTACTTGTTTAACTTTTGTCTAGTTTCTGAACAGATATGAGGAGCTGTGAGCTCTGAGTGCTAACAGCTAACGGCTGATGTTTTGGTTTTCTGGTTCAACGTCAGTGACGGCAGGCTGAGATCCTCACCGCTGATTGGCTACCGCGAGATCGCGAAATTTTTTAACTCGAGCGGTTGTCGCGACTCCCTCCAATCGCCTCAATCGCGCCGCGGTATTCGTATCAACCGCTTCATGCGCGCCGTCAGAGCGAATTTGCGTCCGTCCGCATCTCTGCATTGACTTTACATGTAATCGCGCCGCCCCCAAAAATCGCATTGCATCCAGTGTGAACGCAGCATAAGTGAGACTGACATGTAAACTGAACTAATCAATAGACAGATCACTTTTTGTTCTTTAAAAGGAAAGTGATCTACCATGCTAAGCTGAAACCCATGATTAGTCATTGCTATGACTATCTAAGAGACATTAGACAATCATGGTTGTGCAAATAATAGTTCGATATTTTGGAATTTGCTAACTTGAGTTACTTGAGATTTAGATGATATAAGTCTTATATCTGAAGAGTAAATATAAGGTTACAGACAGTAACAGTTTAGCTTAGCATAAGTTTTTGAAAAAAGCTGGCCTGACTCTCCAAAAACACAATGATTCAACAACCAGCTCCTTTAAAACTCGGAATATCTCATATGTTCAATTCATTCAAACTATTTATTGGCCAGTAGCAGTAACACCTGTATGGTTTCCTGGCAACCACAAAAGACTTAAAGAAGTCACTGCTCCACGACAAGAAATCGTGGCACATGGTAATTTGCCAGGCTAGTTGCTCACCCCTTTTGCAAGTCTCTTTTGCTAAGTTAAACAATCTTCTTGTCTATCTCTTAATACTACTCCTGCTCTTAACTCATCTTTAAAGACATTGAGGAACATACATGTTATATGGAACACTAATATTGATATAAAAACCTTTAAATAGGCTGCATACAAGAGTCAAATGTTTTTATAGTGAGATTTTTTTAAAGGGGTACATTTTCAGAGTTCAGATTGTTTTTCTGTGCCTCTGCTGTGATAGGTTTACATGCTTTCAAAAAGGCTTTTATTTTCCTCATACTGCCTTTGCTGCAGCACCTTTTTTCATCCTCTGTTGTGATTGGTCTTTGGTATGTTAGCCTTTGCAGAGCATGACGGTTTCTCAATTCTCTAATTTCCCGTCCTCGACTCCTCGGTCCTCCGGTAGTGACCCGGAAATGTATTTCAGCGCGCCATGTTGAAGGACATCTCATTTCTCTAAATACACATCAAGGACCGAGCATCGTGGAGGCTCTCTGGAGGAACTATAACCGAGGATACACTGATGGTTCCTCCGCGGATGTATTTAAGGCAACAGAGATGTTTCAAAGAGTCGTGATGCACGGCCGGACTTATCTCAGCCAATGACAGCTCTGCATGCATCCCCTGGATATTATTTGATTAACTGCTTTCATTGCGACGCGACAATTAGAGGAATGAGAAACCTTCCATGTACACGCACTAAAACCTATAAAACACACTATAGGAAAGGGGAAAACACAAAAGGCATAATTATCTCTTCACTTCTTTTATAAGATTGAATATTTATAAGCCTCTGAACCCTACATAAACAAACCACTGTACAAAAAAACCCTTCAGATTGTAGATTGTGATAATATAGAACATTTTGGGTGTTTTATAGATGTTTTTTCCGTGTGTTACCTTAGCTGCTTGTCTAAAATAATAGCTGCTACAGTTTTATGTAACAAACTGAGGTGTTACTTGTACTAAGTTTATTCCAGTAAACAATCCTCGATGATCACACTGGTAGTGTCATTTTCCACTTGTTTACTGCTATATTTGCCACGTGCACAACTTTAATGTGAACACTCTCCTCGTATAAAGCGCTTCAACCACAAAAAGCATCTGTTTTATGACAGTTGAGACAGGTGATCTTGTCCGGGGAGGAGTGTCATTGTAATCCTCTAATGTTATTATCACACCCACAGCGTGTCTGAGTGTCTGCACCTGCTCTGATTTATACACACAGAGGCTGGAGGAAATGGAGCTTCTCTCTGTGACTGTATGAAGCATGAATCTGTGGAGGGAGGGAGAGTGCGAGTGAGCCCCATGCTCCTCCAGACATCGTATAAACGCTTTTACAATGCTTTTACAATGTCAGCCGGGCGATGACATATCGGTAATCAGTCATAGCGTTTGTGATGTTTTTCCTCTGCTCTCTGTCTCACTCACCTTAACATTTCCTCTCCCCATCCTGGCTCTAACTCACTGTCAACACCCCTCTTTCTGTTCCCTGTTTCAGCCTTTTATTCCCTTCCTGCTTCTCTCCTCCATCCCCTTGATTCGCAGCATGCCGTGTAATAAAATAGATTGTAATTACTGTGTTGCTGAGAGAAGAATGGATTAATTAAAATATAATGATGCCGATCACACCAGCGGGCGTTTGTTGAAATCTGTCCATTTAGGGGCTGCAGCTGAGGACTCGTAATGCCCAGATCATACTGCAGCGGCCACCCTAATTATGAAGAATGGTTTATTGCATGGGCAAGGAAGGATGGACTGGACTAGTGCAATGAGCACAGGGTCACTTAAAATCAATGAGGTTGTTACAATACATTAAATATGTGATATCTGTAATGAGAGGATCCATGTTTAGGAAAATTGAAGATAACACTTAATGCTTATTGGCTATAGTGGGAACTAAGTGATATTTCTCTGGATTGTAGGGTTATGAGTTTGTTGCAGGTAAAATGGCTCGATGCACTGCGTATTGAAAGGCATGCAAACAGACATTACCAACAAATTAAATCTTCTCCAATTAAACCGGCACATTCTTTAAAGAGGATATTTTATGTTCATTTAAAGGTTAATATTTGTATGTAGTGTCTCTCCTGTGACATGTCTCCATGCATTAATGTTCAAAAAGCTCTTTATTGTTCTCACTGCCTGTGCTGCAGCACCTCTTTTCACCCTCTGTCTGAAACCAGAGCCCAGTCTGCTCTGATTGGGTTGCTGGCCGGCTCTGTTGTGATTGGTCAACCTCTTAGATGTGTCCCGCCACTTAGCCTATCAATGTGTTGGAGCGCTAACCAATAGAAGCGCAATTGTTACTTTGTGATGTCACTATGTACAGCTGTAACGGAGTCCAACGGAGAAGTTTCAGGCAGGGGGGGAGTGTGTGAGAGAGAAACTCCCTCTGGCGTGTACCTTTACATGCACAACAACCAATATATAAACACTACAGGAAAGGGAGAACCCAAGAAAGTATAAAAGGGCCACTTTAATTCATTTGTATGTGACCTTTGGGACCTTCCATTGTCTTCCCTTTGACTTGGAGGATTTAAGGACTTGCAACATGTTTTGTAATGCTGTATATGGGTTTTGGAAGTGGAAGTAGAATATGTGTTCATGTCTTAATTTCCATGTTTGTGTAAAATGCATCATTAGACTGTGGTCTCAAGCGATAATGCTCAACCCATATATAAGAAAATGCTCGTACACTGCACCATACTATTTGTGGAGTGCAGACATTCCTCTGTTTGGTTGAAAGCTTTCAGGATGACGTGTTGAATATGATATCACAGCAGTTTTGAACACTATGACAGTTATTTAAAAATCCCCCCCACTGGTACATTCTTCAGTGAAGAATGACAGAGAATTGATCTGCAACCAAAAGAGAGCCATATCATTCTTTGAAAACACTGCACACGTGCGCAAACTGGCTCACTGGTGAGCAACACATCTAGCATTTACCTACAGAAAAGGCCATAGTGTGTTAGAATGAGCAACAGTGTTTAATGCTTAAAAAAGAAGTATGAGGAAGAAGGTCTAATGTCTTCCTTCAAAAGTAACATAATTACACTTTAGATAAGAAAATGTAATGAAGATATTAAGTATAACCTCTTTAAAAATGCCACAGGGAGCGTGTTGGGATTGAGGACACATGGTTGCAGTCAGAGAAGCATGGCTTTGTAAAAGATGAAGGAAAATAATGCCATAGATGTTGGTGAGTTGGCATTGATGTGTGTGAATGTAAATGGGTGTGTGTATTTGGGGATTTTGGGGGCTGTTGGATGTGTGCAAGGGGTCGCCCGCATCCCAGAATTCCCATCTGTTTGACCTCCATCTGGAACGGGAGCTTTAGGAACTGTGATGTTGGGGAGCGCCCCCCCCCCCCCTCACCCTTAACACCCTCAGCTCCCTCCGCCATGACGAAAATAAACATGTCAGCCGCCACACGCCAGAGCAATCTGCAATCAGATTTACTGTGCATGAAATATGGTGGTGCTTTTATTGGTCCAAAGACTTGTCACTCATAATTTATAGGCTGTTGCTAGGCCGGCTGTGATGTCAGCGAGCTCCCTCGGGAGAATCAAAAAGGGGGAAAGAGATAGGGGTGAGGGGTTGTGGTTGGGTGGGGGGTTTAGAGATATAAGAGGACAGAAAATCTGTGTGTGTGAGAGCAGAAAAAGGGAATGAGGCGGGGAAAGGTGATGGAAATGGGTGAAAAAGGGCGAAAAAATAACACGCATCCATCCTCTCCTCTCCGTGGTGAGTTTATTATCGTGAGGGAGCGAGAGTGTCAGTTTTTTCCAGGGCCTGCACAAATGGATCTCCCCCTCCCCTCTTCTCTCCTGCAGCGATGCTTGCTATCCTTTGAACACTGACACCTATTGATCACATGGTTGACGGAGGAAAAATCTTCTTTCTTTTTTTATCCGCGATTCACATCTCCACTTGAAGCCTCCCTGACCCAGAAATAGAAAGTCTGGAGTTGCACCGGAGGGATGACGTACGGAGAAGAAGCAGGATGTCCAAAAAGGCTTAATTTCATTTAATCTTTTCTGATAGCATAGGTGAAACTACAGTAATTATCCTGTGGGAGATTTAGATAGAAAATAACAGCGGCGGAGTAGATCAAAGAAACTCTGCCCTCTCTGCAAAGACAAAGTGAAAATCAAGGAGAATGCATGAGTGCTAAAACGATATCTTGCAAAAACTTGTATGGCATTAAGAAATGAGATAAGATTCAATCCCTCTTTTGAAAAATGATACCCAGCTCACAGAGAACTATTAGAATGTTTACATTTGCGGCATTTTGTTCCATATCAAAATAATTAATTGCCTCCATTTTCAAATTAAAAGTACATTACAACACAATTAAGCATGCAAATGAGTCTGGGCCTGTCACGAGGAGCCGGGGAGAAGTGAAAGAGTGACTGCGCTGATGTATGAGGGTTTGCATGCTTTTTTGTGTATTAGGTGTGTCGCAATGGATCATTGTGCATGAGCATGTGTGTGTGTATTTAGATACAAAAAAATGCTGCCTTTATTGAAGAAGAGTGTTGAAAATGCATCAGCGTGGGGAAATAAATCAGAGCTCTGCTGTAATAAACAACAGAGTAATTAGGTCACTCTTCCCTCGGTAACTGATCGACCAGAAGAGTAGATACTATGTTATTCCATTGTGTTAAAGGCTTCTGTCAGCAGTAAAAACATAAACACATACTTTTACACATACACATTTCTCTATCCCTGCCTCCTTTCAAGGGGCTCTGACCTCCAACGAGCCTGTCCGTAAAAGATGTCTACATCACACCAGAAACCTGGGACAGTAAAGCATAATTTTGTCATAACCTTCCCTCTTTGGAGGGAAAACAGATATAAAAGTATATAGCCTGTGGTTTACGGTGAGTCCCCCTCACCCAGCCTGGCAGCAGCACGCAGGGCTGATGGATGCCGGGCGTCGGCCCACTTTTAATTGCTCGTAAATTTTTGATCCAGGGAAAACGCCACGTTCTCCTTGTCCCTCGGCGACATGGGTGACGGGGCCGCTCAGGAGGGAATAAAAGAGCCTCTGTGAGGAACACAGACAAGATGGGATACACAGAGACACAGTTACACACTTGGAGAGATACATCCATATCACTAGATATCCATAGGAACATAGGATGTAGAAGACTGTGAGTTCATAAGTTATGATAGGATTAATTTCGATATAGTGAAAATTCTACAAAAAATAATCTTTCATTAAAAGTTTTTTTTTAATAAAAGATGCCAAATTCCATCCTTATCTCCTAAATATGAACATTGTTTACCTATAATTTGCAACAGCAAATATGTTTTGTAAGAAACATAATGCCGTCCATATTTTTAACTAACATGATAATTAAACATTAACAATCTGTTAAGAATCAAATTTGATATAACTAATACTAAACTTTTCAGTAAAAAATCTGCTTCCCAAATGACATTTTTGTGTGTGCATGTAAATGTTCTGCAGAGGCTAAAATCCCAAAGTTCCCTCCAGAGGGAGTTTCTCTCCCACACACTCCCCTCCCCTCTGCCTGAAAAGCCTCCATTGGGACTCCTTTCTTTACTTCCGTAACATAATGACATCCCCATGTAACACTTGCACTTCTATTGGCTAGCATGTCAACACATTGTACGTGATAGGCTAAGGGGCGGGATATCTCTAGGCAGTTGACCAATCACAACAAAGCCAGCTAGCCAATCAGAGCAGACTGGGTGAAAAGGTGCTGCAGCACAGGCAGTATGGGAAAAAGAAATACCTTTTTGAACATTAAAGCATGTAAAATCACTAACACACATCAGTTGCCCTGATTCTGTGAAGGACATCTACTAAGGATTTTGTATATAATATACAGAGAGCCATTTATTTTTTATATAAGTGGAGGTATGATCAAAGGAAAGAAAAACATTGTAATTTTTACTCCATCACTCATGCAGAGACTCACTGCACAAAACCGTCCTTGTCAAGCACTTACTGTAGAATTACAGAACCTCTATCTTAAAGGAACTTCTAACAATGTGCAGGAGGCTGCATTTGCATAAAGCTCCCCTTTTCTTTGTTTACTGTGGAACAGTCCTTTAAGTGCCCGTACAGCGATGACAGTAATGGAGATGGGATTGAAAAATGGGGTTTAAAAACCGTCTCCGCAGACTTGTGACTGTTGCCAAGCCTAACAGATGCTCATCTGATCAATTTCTTACCCCGTTTGTCTTCCTCAATGGATGAAAGTAGAGAAGATAAATATAGGTTCATCCCACCATTTGCTTGTTTGTTGCGGTATGGTCCGACATCCTGCCGAGGATTTTGATTATTTCCCTAGTGTGTCAGACTCTGTCTAGCCCCAGATCTCTATCACTATTTTCTCCTTTTTCCTGTCCTTGTTGCTTTATCCTCTCCTCCTCCCCCTGCTGTTTGTGTTGTTCCAGTCTCATTTTTTTTTTTTTCAGACTCACCAGGGTTGGCCTGTTGTGATCTCTTTCCTTCTCTCATCGATCCTGACTCCCCCCCCCCCCCCCCCCCCCCCCCCATGGGTGGCCAAATCAAGACACATGCTGATCATCCACAGGTCACAGTGCGGGCCAGAGGTCCAAGGGGGCTGGCCATGGTCATCCTTACTTCTGAATGGGTTTGTGTGTGTAGGACAATAATCGTAATGAAGGTTCTACTTTCGAGCTCCATCAGACAAAAGCATGCGTGTCTAAATCACATTAATCCGTCATATACGTGTTGTTGGCAAAACAGCTTTTAATTATACAATTATATTCAACAGTTTTTTATGACTGCATTGAATGGGCGTGTACATTAATATAAATACATCACTGATATAGGAAGAGATGATTTGCTCCGAACAGATACAAATATTTGTAATTATCGTATGTATTGTTGTTTTACCTGGTTTACAAAATTTGAGACATACCACATTTCCAATCAAAACACATAGACATTTAAATCATTGCAATGCTAGGATCTTTCTTCTAGACGTCTGCACATTTTTAATTGTTTTCCTCTACAGTGTAAAATGTAACTAAAGAGGCTAAACAAAGTATATTTTGGTGTTGTTTTAGTTTAAGTCATATGTTTAAGTTCAGCCATTCAGCTGAACTATCCGTTCTCATCAGGTTTCACAAGTCTTACTTTGTAATGCAGACAAAGATGACTGGTGTTCTACAGTAGTTACCTTAGCCTCACTTTTCAAATCTACTATTTTTTCTACTATTTATTTAGACTACATGTTATCTTTCTTTTTGGTTATCGGGTTCAAATACAGGTAATTTTACTTTATTAATTGGTTAAATAATACATTTCTCATACGTTTGAAATATAATTTCCCTGTATGTTGTTTGAGCAGCTAAGCCTGTAATGTACATAAATACAATACAGAAAATGTGGCATTGAAGACTGTTTCCTGAAACGTCTTGTATGTTCGATAAATCAACAACTATGGCATTACACCCCTAACATTAATACAATTAAAGGGGCCCAATTATCTTCATTTTAAGGATAATATTAATATTTTGTGACTTTACTGTGACATGTCTCCATGCTTTAATGTTCAAAAAGCGCTTTATTTTTCTCATACTGCCTGTGCTGCAGCACCTATTTTCACCCTCTGTCTGAAACCAGAGCCCAGTCTGCTCTGATTGGTCAGCTGGCCGGCTCTGTTGTGATTGGTCAACCGCTTAGAGATGTCCCGCCCCTTAGCCCATCACGTAAAATGTGTTGGAGCGCTAGCCAATAGCAGCGCAAGTGTTACATGTGATGTCACTATGTTACTGAAGTAAACAAAGGAGTCCAATGGAGGTGTTGCAGGCAGGGAACACAGAGATCTTATCCTTTGCAGAACATTTACATGAGCAAAAACATATAAACAACATTACATGAAAGGGAAAACCCCAAAAAGCATAATAGGGCCTCTTTAAATGTGGCATAAATGGACATAAAATGAGCTAGTAGTGAGAGTATCCACTTTAAGCTAATTTTCGCATTATGATGATGGTCATCCCTCCATTCCCTTCCATCCCTGTTACAGTGACTACGGTACAGTCCTCCTGGAGGCTGACCAACACACAGACCCAGAGCTCTCCTCCACTGGGCACAAAGGGAGAGAGACGGGTGAGTCTGATCAACCCCAACAGTGTCAGTCCAATTACTCATTCTCTTAAAGGGCTATTAAAACATAATTGCCCGGCGATTTACATCCAAGTTAACGTGGCCTTGAGATAATTTATTATTTTCCATAAGCCCTTTCTTTTGTGTGCCGACTGAAAGAGTATGGGAGGGAGGGGGGACAGAGGGAGACTGTAATTTCCTGAGTCATGAAGAAAGGCATGTTGGCAGCCCGGTGTAATTGTTTAAACCCCACTCTCAGACACCTTCCAGTCACCCCCTTTTAATCCTCGTTATCGCTCTCATTAGTCCGGGGTCAGGGGTCAGCCGGCTCCCCCTAGAAACACAAACACAGAGCTGGGAAGAGGAAGGGGTGGATGGTGGGTGGATGTGGGTGGAGATAGACATTTCCACTACAGTACTAGCTAGATTGTACGCTAAATGCTTTACCCAACTTTTATTAGTTACTTTATTAAATGAACATGGTTAACAATTGCATTTTTTGCTAGTGATTATAACTATATGATGTGAAACCAACCAAAAAATATTCAATATTAAAAATATAGAACTTGTTTTTATTTGTATTCAACCTTAAAGGGGACCTATCGTGCAAAATGCATAAATATGTCCCCCCGGCGTGTCAGGGAACTCACAAAGTCTCAGAAAAGAAAACCCTCTCTCTTTTCCTCAGTGCGCAAATCTCTGAAAACGGGTAGAACGAGCTGATCCAGATTATTATTATTACGTTATTTACGTCATATCGGATGGTGGACCCACGCCCCTATCAGAAACGTCGCTATCAGAATAAATGCCCGACGTGTTTTGGACGTAATATGGTCTTTGATTACATTAGCAAGCATCGTTAACACTCAGACCTAACCAGTACTGGAGAGAGCACATGTTTGAAGAAGCAGGAAATACAAAATCTGCACTTTAGTAACAGGAAGTGATGAAATATAGGGATATGAGGCAGAATGGCTAGAATGGGTGATCTGTTTGGTATTTTGAGCAAAACACTTCATAGACACGTTTTTTATAAATTTTTATATATCTGAGGCCTGCAGTATGCTATTGCCTAAAATTGCATGATAGGTGACCTTTAAAGGTCCCCTATTATACTTTTTTTCAACAATATATTATATGTCTGAGATATATACAAAACTTGTCTCTGAATTATGTATTATTTTTTTTATTTTATTTTTTAATATGTAATTAAAAAAATGCATTGAGAGAAGACTTAACATGTATTTATTCTTAATACATCAGCAAAGTCACTATATGATTAATTAATTCCTCAGTATCAATAGAGTCATTCTTCCAATAGCAGCTAAGTTCAAGAGAATGCGCCACATTTTAAGATATGTGACAAACTAAGCTTAACTTAAAGACAGCTTTTGGATGAGTTGTTTTTGTAAATGCTATTAGCTTGCACATTGTGCTTGTGTAAAACATAGCAACATTGATGAGAGACAGATTTCCTTTTTCCTTCATGTTTACCTTTTTGTGCTTGTTGATCAGGCGCATTGATAAAGTATTTGCTTTATACTCACAAAGGTTTTAATGTTGTGCAAATTACAGTAAAGAGCAGAGTTTAGCCCCGGCACATAGAGCAGGGGAGATACCAATACAACAAATGGTAACATCAGGGATTATCAATACTGACGTCTTTGAAAAAATGTATTCTTTAGGCTCCTTTAATAACGTTTTTTGGTACCCGTCCCTACTTCTGATACATGATTTTAATTGTCTAATACTCTAATGTACTATACTTTGTTTGCTGCTAGAGGCTGTTACTGTGGTGTCTTTAGTTACACTGGGGTTTGATCTCAGATGTTGCATGTCATTCTCTGCTTCATGTTTCCTGTGTGTCTCTACTGTCTCGGTCAACAGACAACCAAAGCTGAACACGTGGGAGAATTGTCCACTGACCAACCACACGCTGTAGGATCATACCCACTTTATGTCAATGATACTAACCGAGTGATTGCCGAATGTTTTGCATCAAATTGTGCCCACTCTCCTTTCCATTTTCTTTGTTTACAATTGAGCTGCTTCTAAATGACATCCTGGACCATCCTGTCAGAACACACCTCTAGTGTCTATGTGCACAACTGGACAAATTACATTGTGCATATTCTGTCATTCAACATCTTTCCTCCTTTTACCCTTCATACTATAAAGTGTGACAGGTAACCAAAAATCTCACTCATAACTCCACAGTCATGTGATTCGTATTAACCGCTTTGACTTTATTACTAAAGACAGTTTGAACTTAAAGGTGGGGTAGGTAATTTTGGAGAAACCAGCTCGAGTGCGCTAGAATTTGAAAATACACAACCGGAAAAAATCTGCCACTTCCTAACAGAGCCCTTCCTCCAACACACATGAACACGCACAAGACCAATGAGGGCACGAGATAAGTTTGTGCACAGATGGAAGGCTGACAGGCAGGTAGGCCATCCAGTTATTTTAGCCGGGCCGGCTCAGATGATTGGTCGTGCTTTTTACAGCACCATGGCTTCCACAGATGAAATTTTTTTATGTTTTTATTGTCAAAGCATTTAAGATATTCATTGCTATCGGGATGTTAAGAGCATTCCATGGAATATAACAAAAAGTGTTTCTGAAATAAATGACATACCCCTTTAACAAAACAAAACAATTCAAATCATAAAACATATTTTCACACGTTATTTCTCTTTTTTTTCTGCCTTCTATGGTTTCTTCTTCCTTGGTCATTACATATATCTCTTATCCTGCTCACCTCTGATTTGTCTGCAGGAATCACAACCTTGTTTCCCCCCCCAGTGTCCCTCTCTAATTGAAGCTAATAAAGATCAATTCAAGTCATTAAGGGTTTTTCTTAAATGAGGCCTGGCTACTAAATGCATTAGCAGGCACTGTGTCTTTCTTCATATATATGCTATATTTCTCTCAATCTTTACCTTGCATGCAATGGGGACTGTCGGGGTCTTCGGGGGCCAGGGTCTTTCCAGGATCATAATCAATGAACAGTACTCCTGGCTGTTGTTGGAGCAGACATTTACCTACTACATCTGAGGCCAATACCACTATGTTTGCATATGCCTATAAAACATTTTGACATTTATTTAACTGTATTCTTACCCGGAGAGCCGTACTCTAAAGTAAAACAAGGATGTCCACATACACTTTCGGTGAGCAGTGTGTTATATCAAAGGACGCTGTAGATTACCATATGACCAATCCGCTAGTACTCAGCGTTATTGCATTATCCGGTTACTGTAGCGCTAGAGCTCTATTTTTACTCCAGATTCAACAGAAAACAGGCGATGTGCTGAGTGATAAGAGAGATGAGGGAAAAGTGACTCATTCACAGAACAGCAGGGAGCCTGATGGTGCTACCAGGAGCTGTCTGGCTGTGTGTGTGTCTGAGAGGATAAATGTTAACATCTCAGTGTGTGCTTGCAAATCCTCTACCTGTGAGAATACAGCGTCAGTGATTTAAGGCCCCGGCCCCACGAGGACGCATACAGCTAAACGCATAGGATTAACGCAAACGCAATCGCAAAAAAGCTTCCCTCCACTGTCCACACGAGACAGCTCCGTTTAGCTCCAACCGCTGGAGAAGCAGCAGTACATATAAAGGAGCCTGTACGTGGCGCTGTAACTTCCTCTACAAAAGCAGCGAAGAAGCATGGTTGTCATGGTTGCCCTCCTGTTTATTCTCCGCGGTGGGGGCAGAGGGAAAAGGGCAGAGTTTTTCGCCAGTCAACGTGTATTAAAGTTTAAATCTTCCGGACAAAATTATAAAAGTGCAGGTTAAAGGTCTTCTTTGTTATTTATTGAGCTTTAACACAAATGAATAACGACTCTATATAATATAATAATAAAACACACGGAGACTCTATTTTTCCTCCCTCTCTTCGGACAGCGTCAGTGTCTGTCTCATGCAGCAGCTGATCCAGTAATGACTGAGTGACCCGGCCGACAGTAAAAATAAACATATTTATAACTAGTTTAGGTAGTTTGAGGAGTAATTCAAATAGCTAAGGGTGATGATCTGACTTCAAGTGTGTGTTTTGCTCCGTTCACCGCTGCATCACAGCGGGAGGAGCTGCAGGTGAGCAGAGCTGCGTGTCTCCGTCCTGTCAGATTAGATTTCACTCGCGTTTATGTCCATATCGAGAGAAAGATAAATAGTGAATTCAGTGTGCAGTTTACTTTGACGCGGGGGTGAGCAGCAGAGGTGGGGAGAGGCGGGGCTATTGCGTCATCATTATCAGAAAATGATCGTATAGGGCGCACACACGGAGCCGTTGGACCCCCCAGAGCGTTGCGTATGCCGTTCTATCCACCTTGGGACCCGTTATCGTTTCCGCAGTTGTTTACTGTCATATTCGGTAGTCCTCGTGTGGCCGAACGGTCTATATGACACTAAACAGTAACGCAAACGACCGTTTCCGTCCTCGTGGGGCCGGGGCCTTTTTCCTACCCAATTATGTTCCCATACAATTATGGGAATATCTTTCTTGTACCATCTTTTTGCAGTTTTTAACATTCGTTTTTTATATAGAGATGTATTTATTGCTGCAACTGTCACAGAACCAAGTTTTCACCTGGGATTAATACAGTATTTTGATTGATTGATTGATTGAAAGAAAATTACAAATATGTAAATGAAAAAACGCAACACTACTCTATTAGGTAAAAGAAAAATCATGGTTTGACGTAAAATAGGTAAATTGGTTGCGTGACTTAAGTTAAGGACATACATTTTAAAAACTAATTTGCACCTGTCTCCAGTCTTGTGTTTGTCCCAACTTTAAATGACATTGCATTTAGCGGACACTTTTGTTCAAAGCATCTTAGACCAGCCAGGAGAGAATTGCCGTCATCTGTGTCATTAAGGTTGTATTAACCTGATGTTGTAGAGAGTATATCTGCACGTGCAAAGCAGTGATATTAGAAGTGAAGGGCAGTTGGTCGTCCAGTTTCACTCCCAGGTTCCTTTCAGGTGCCAATGTTTCACAGAAAGGTCATGGATAGGAGAGTCTTTACTTGGGATTAAAAGCAGTTCAGTCTTGTTTAGATTGAGTTCAGGTGGTGAGCAGACATCAGATATCAGCCTGACAGGCAGAGATTTGTGCGACCACGTGGGTTTCAGACCAGGTAAAGTACAGAATAGGTTGTGTGTCATCTGCATAGCTGTGCTAGGAGAAGTCTTGAGAGCGGATGAGAGAGCCAAGTGAATTGGTGTACAGAGAAAAGAGGAGAGGACCAAGCACTGACCCCTGTGGGACCCCACTGAGGAGTTGACGAGAGTCTGACACAGATCCTCTCCAAGTTACACTGTTGCAACTTAACATCTTTCTTTTGGGAACTTAACGTATGCAGACTCCTTGGAAACACACTGAGAACATACTTTTCCCCCAAATCATGATGATGGTGGTGAACCTAATTGATATGGGTCCAGCCTTGACTGAGAACATACAGTGTGTGAGTGTGTGTATTGTGTGTGTGCGTGGGCAATTGTGCTTGTATGTTAGAGACCATGTGTGATTTTTCGTGAGAGATTTTTTGCAAGTTAGAGCAGTGGTGGAAGAAGTACTCAGATCAGTAAAAGTAATAATGCCACAGTGTAGAAAGGCTCTTATTTCAAGCAAAAGTCCTGAATTCACAATGTTAGTTCAATCAAAAGGTAAAAAATATTAGAAGTAAAACAAGTACCAAATATAAAATTACTCGAACCATTTTATATCATTTGAATTTAAAGTGTTTAAAGGATGAGATAACTTTAATGACTTTATACTGCCAGGTATCTCCATCCATTATAGAACATCAGATTTGTTGTTGATGTAGTTGTTGTTGTTAATAATAGGAACTTGGAAAGGTAATAATTAATGAATGTTTTAAAATAAATGTAGTAGAGTAAAAAGTACAATATTTGCTTCCAAACTGTAGTGGAGTAAGTCTGAAGTAGCATGAAAAGGAAATACTCAAATAAGTACAAACACTTACAAAATGTACTCAAGTACAGTACTTCAAAATATACTTTGTTACTTTCCAACACAGAGTGTGTGGTTTAATTTATCTTTGAGTCTGTTAAAGTTAGTAAAGCTAAATGAAATCTAACCACTATGTGTTTGAGTTTCATAATTTGTCCTGCCTCATGTGCCCCTCTGCAGCTTCAGTCCAGTATAGCAGGCAGTCTGGAGCAGAGATAAAGCGGTTTAGCTCCCGATCACTCAGCCCAGGCTCCGCCTCCCTCTCCATATGGCCACAGAAAGCCTCCTCAGCCTCCCCAGGCCTCTGACAGTGTAAAAGGCAATTGTGTGGAATGTGTAGGAATTAAGTGTCCCATCATTCAGCTCAGACATGCAATTAAAAGAGCTGCAGTCGTCACTCGCGGTAGACATCGCGTGAGTCATGTCGCTATTACTCAACGTAGTGGACGACGCCTGCCTTTTTTTGTTCTTAAGAGGGAGGAGTAAACACATAGACAGACACATATTTAAGAGGCTCACACACTTACTGTCTCCCATCCGCTGTACACACTTATTTACACGGACACTCACAACCATAAACAGCCAAATCTTACCTGATGGAGGTCAATATAAGTTAAAATAATAATTGATTGCTTTAATTCCTCCTAAACATATTGGTCCTGAAGTGACGTTTTCTTCACTGGACGAAATGGTTCGTAAAATATCAGCAATCCTCATTCTGTGTGGAAAATCAGCTTTATATTGGACTATCGTTGCTTTCACAAACTCCCCTTTTTAACCTATATCCACTCGAATGTAATTGTCAATGTACTATTTGTCCATTCTAAATGAGTATGCTTTTCTGTTTTTCTTTCTGTTGTGTCATGTTAAACGTCAAGAAAATGTCAAATAGCAGAGTTAGTGAACAATGCAGGTTAGTTGGCAGGTAAGCTGTGCAGAGGTGAGAAAGCAAGCAGGATTTCTTTCTGAAGTCTTCCATTTGTAACACAACTAGTTCATCACTCACTGTGTGTTTGAAACTGAGTGCAACACTATGAATAGCTTCCAGGAGAGACTGTTTGAAAATGTGTGCCGTAATTTTGAGATTTTACCAATATGGCTTACTTCACCTTCAAAGAGATGTGATTCAGTTGCAAACCAGTTATTTTCTGACTCAACCCGGCCCCTACTTTTTGTTTGCCATGGTGTGGTGATCACAAAGCAAATACAATGCAAAAACATATGTCTGTCAGACTGCAACTATGCGCTAAACATGAACTTATATATGTATTTTTTTAAATAATACTGGTTCATAACAACCATTTTCCCCATAACATGGTACCAGATGCTTATACCCTGTTTCTGGTGAACCTTCCTTGGCTTGAGTGTTTGATTAAATCCAGTTTTTCAGATTATATGTTCATTTTCACCATGCTTTGGGTAACAAAGATCATTATGAGGACTGTAGATTGTCTACCCATCTCTAACACTGTAGTCAATCTTGCAATGGATAACTTAAGGGCCAGTATTAACAAAAGCAACAATTACAGTCAATAACAACGATTTAATCATACATGTAGGCTTGTGAGTAATTGTAAGAACACAGACTAAACGCACGTGTTCACACCTACAGTACCTTGGTATACAGATGAATATGTGTAAATGTAAAAGGTGTGCATTAGGAAACAAGAGAAGGCAATTATAAAAATGTTGACATTCAACGAAAACGTAGGTCTTGCAGATCACATAAAAATGATGGATGTTTACAATTAAATCGGTTGAATTTCTGTGTTTCTATATTTTCATTGTGTGTGTACACAATGAAAATGTATTTTCGTTTATACAGTGCTTTTAGTAAACGCTGTGCAAGTTTTGTCAAGTTGGTGAATATTTCTAAATGCTGCGTGCGCATGTGTTGCCAAGTTGTTAAAGAAGTTCCTTATTTGCACGTGTTCTGGCACAGTTTTTTATTCACATCATTTCAGAAGCTGCAGCGCGTTTCTCCTAATGGAAGTGTTTTGGGCCGTTGTAGCGCATTTGCACAGGTTGGCCACCGTATATTCCAATACAGTACTTTACTAACCATTACATTTGTTGTCATAAAAAACACATTGGAATGTTTAGTTTAACTTTTATAGTTGAACCGAGTTCCTCCGCTGAGATTAAGTGTAATGTTTTCCCACCGGCCTAAAGAGAAACATTAAAAGAAGCAAATGTGCTGTAAAAAACACAGATAATGATTGAATCCAAATACAAGTATACTATGTGCAGCACTTAGACCCAAAATGACCTTACACATAAAATAAATTGAAACAATTCTCATGGCTCCACACTACCCAAAGCAGTGCAGTTTGTCTCTACCGTTTTCACGAGTTTGTTTCTATCTCTTGCGATAGCTCATATCAGTCTGTTCACAGAGCTAAGCCTGAGTGGGCTACAGTGTAAATATCCCAGACCTATTATTACTCCAACAAAACGTTCCTCGCTGTTGTCAAGCCACTAAGTACAAAATGGTGAATTGCAGACACGAAGAGAGATAATTGCCACTCAGGCTGGAAATTTGGCAAGCATCTTCCCCACGAGACCCGGATGAAATGGTGCTTCAACCCCCGAAACTGTCATTCTTAATGAAATGGTAATTACAAACCCAGCAGAACAGCTGAGGGGGCCTGCCGGGCCCACGGAGCCCAACTACCAGAATAAACCTGCTACAACAACCTGCAGAGAGGAGGGAGGAAGGAGCAGGGAGAGAGAAAGACGATATCAAACGGGAGAGAGGTTGAGCTAGGCAGTAACACCAATAATCTGAGATTTATTTCAATTGTGAAATGTAATACACACTCCAGGTTGGAGTGTGCTGTACACTGGGACCCTCATCAATAACGCCGGCTGTGTGGAAGGCAGGAGGGGAGGTTGGTTAAAAGCGCCCACACAGCCTGGGTAATTGATTGCTTTGTAAGTGAACGTGTCTTTAACCTTTGGGAGGTCAGGCCCAGTCGGACACCATCAGTCCTGCCTGGGGTTGAACCGCTTCCAGCCGTTTGTCTTCCGCTGCTCCCTCGTCTCCGGGCCGATTTGTCAAGCATGAGATGTTTTGGGTGTTTAGATTACAGGCGAGATGGGAAAACAAAGGCAAAATGCCACCCCAAACAAAAGGCCTGAGCCTGGATCTCCCACTGATCAGTAGGCTGGGCAGGAGGCCAGCTACCTGGGGTGCTAAAACTGAAGGGGGGGGGGGGGGGGTGCTGAAACAGAGCCACAATGAAGCCCCCCGAAACAGAGCCACTGTGGAGCTTGAATGTGAGCCAACTTGAGTATTGAACGACAGCCAGAACGGTGACATGAGATAGAGCCGGAATATCGCCTTGAGACGCAGCCAAAATGGCAGCTAGAGACTCAGGGGGGGATAGGAGGGAGCTCGGGGCAGCTAACTGTTTCTTCACAGCAGTACTCCTCATCACTGGAGATTGTAAAGTGTCCCTTTGCCACCCTTTCAGGTACTTAGGCCTGTCTGTCTGTCAGGCTGTTAGAGAGTGACTAAAGATGATTTATCTCTGGGATTATCGGGGCCAGTAGCTACGCCGTCGATCATACGACGCCCTGGAGAGACAGGTCAAAATCACAACACCTACTAGGACCAACACCCTGACACGTCTTTATTTCTTATGTGGAAGCAGCCATTTATAACTGGCCTGCACTCAACAAATTGACAGGAGAAAGTCAAACACATCTTGCGAAGCACATGTGTGGATCATGGCTGTTTGTTTATTTTCAGACGTGATATGTTGTCACCCGAGGTAAAAGCAGCTTGTGCCTGTGTGTTTGTGTCACTGTGTGTCGTATGAACAAGTGTGTGCAAATGCAACAGTATGTGTGTGTTTATTCAAAGCAAGGTGCAGTGTGTGTGTGCCAGTTCCATCTGTTGTTCTATTACCATAGACGTGATGTACCTGCCACTTCCCTCCTCAGCTCAGCCTTGGGTGTGTGTGTGTGTATGTGTGTGTCTGGATGTGTCTGTGTGTGTGCTGTGTTGTGTTCTCCCATCCTGTTGTTAGATCTGACAAGCACTAACACAAGCTTGTTGTGAAAAAGGGGGATAGAACACTCTCAAGTTCCAGATCCCTTCCTGAGTCTGACAGACAAACAGTGTGGGATTGTGGGAAAACTGCAGTCCTCTCTTACACTCTTCATCTCTCTGCTCTGCCAGGATTTAAGCAGCCGAGAAGTGTATTTTGGCACTATTCTCTAAAGGGGAGAGGGTTCTCAGTACAATATGAGTCCTGTTGCTTTTATAGAAGTTTGGTTCAGTCTTTTTTTGGATTTCATGCTCCATTGGGCTCTCAGGTAGAGCTTCAGTGACAGTCATTCTACAGAAGAATTATTAGTAGTATATTTGTTCATGCAAAATGGCAGAATATTTTGTATTCAGCCTCTAAAATAGGATATTTTCTTGGGTTAAAATAATAATTTATTGAAAACCTTTATGTATTGGACTGACAAAACAAGACATTTAATCGACCAAACATCCTACTTTTGGTTGAGACCCTCCTGTCATCCGTACTGTCTTACCAGGTAATCATTATTTACGTTTTTTGTCATAGTGTAGATTTAATACCTACTGTGTGTTGCAGTACTGATACCTAAACAACACTTATTTAAGGAAAAATATTACTTATTACAAGTTGTCTACACACAAGAAGCCATACAACAAATGTAAGGAAAACATCATTTTTTATTCCAATCAGTAATTACCTCTAATAAATAGTTCCAACAGCAGAATGATGCCAGAGGACAATTCAGGATATAAATCAGAGAGGGAAATGCCTCTTGTGATATTCTGATCACTTTTACAATCCATCTAAATAATTGTAGAGGTACATTTGAAATAATACAACGACAGAAGCAATTTTCACATCAGAGGAAAAAATAAAGACTAATGTTGATTTATTGTGTGACATTTGAATAGATGTAGTGGATGATAAGTATAGACAAAAGGGCAATGCATTCAGATTGCAGTTGCTGTCACAACACGAGTAAGACTCCTGCGTTTCCTTAAGGGTTTCCTTAAGGGTTTCTATGAATTTGGCAACTACACATTTTAGCTAGATTTAAGTACTTAAACTATAACGAGAACATTTTATCTCAAAATATTCTGAATTGAAGAGCTAAAGTTTTCAGCCTACTGGATTTGATCAGAATTCCATTTATTTATTTATTTTGTTCACATTTATCAATGTAAAAAAAGCTATGTTTTATTTTTAGGCAAACAGCAGAACAGGTGGTTTGTTCCCACTTGCTGAATTTACTTAAGATCAAAACAATCGAAGCT